GCACCCACAACGGGGTCGAGGTCACCGTCCGTCACGCCAACGGCACAGCGCGACTCATCCGCGCGAACCAACTCCTCCTCACCATCCCCGTGACGCTCGACAACCTGCGCAGCATCATCGACCTCGACGCGCACGAAACGGACCTCTTCGCCCGCTGGCGTCACCAAACGTACTACGCCGCCCTCGTAAACAACACCGGTCTCGTCGAAGGGGTAAACCTCCTCAACATCGACCCAGACAACCCTCTGTCCGTGCCATCCGAGCCGTTCATCTGGCGGATCGACGCCCAGCGCGTTCCCGGATACCGCACCATCAAGCTAGTGGGAAACCAGTCCTTCACCCCGTCCGATGCGCGGCAGTTGTTGGTGGAGACGTTCGCCCGGCTCCGCGCCCAAGGTACGTTTCCGACGGCGCGGAAGCCGCGGATTGTGACCTGGGGGGACCACACGCCGGCGACGATGAGTGTGAGTGCGGAGGAGATTCGGGATGGGTTCTACAGCGAACTATATGGCTTGCAGGGACGGCATCGCACGTTCTACACGGGGTTGTCGTGGGCATCGGATTACTCGACCTTGCTGTGGGGGTATACGGATACCGTGATTGAGCAGATGCGAGCGGCGTGGGGACAGGGGATGTGAGGTCGCTCATCGCTTCTGGATGACAGGGAGATGCGGAGAGAAAGATGCCATATTGTTTGTAGTCTCTGAGTTGTCGTTTTATGGTAACTGTGCGCCTCATGCGCTTTGATATTTCGACTGATTGTTCATAAAGAGACCGAATGTGTAATCCGTTGGTACAGTAGATCAAAGGCATGACACTTTGCTCAACAGAAGCTCAGTGACCAAGGTCTTGCGAGTGGTGGGAAAGAGTCAGTCAGCCCATCTGAAATAGTGAAAATGAACTCACGAATGACCGTACCCCCGCAAACCACGTACACCTCCACTAGAGACTTCTTTTCTCTTTTTCGTCGTCACCATTTCAGGACAACAGATTACAGAGCACGCGCGTCACTCCAGTCCAGAGACAGCATACCGTTGAGGCTTGGCGCATTCACACTGCAGACGCCGACTCTCCAGCTCGCATTCGACCATCAATCACCACTACTCCGCCCATCCCTGGCCAGCCAAAACCACCTTGAGCATCCAGCTATGCCCTCAGTCCGAAACCAGGAGCAGCTCGAGCCGCCCGTCACCGCCCGAGATCAAATGATAACCTCGGCTGTACGGGACATCCAAAGGCTCCTAACATCGAGCCATTATACGTCTCGTCTCCAAGACAATGTCTGCCGCGCAGGTGTGCTTCCAGTATTTCGCCGTCGGGGTCGCGTTGCGCAATGCTCGCTCTATCTGACATCTCTTCCGCCCGGGTGCCGTATTTCAAGGAAGCGCTCGCTCGGTCGGTTCATATCGTACGCCTCGCAGGCTCGGGAACTTTACTCAGTAAGCAAACGTCGAGATCCTTACGGAAATCATGCATACTACATCGTCGCAAGTCGATCGCGCTGCGGGTGATGACGAGACGGAACATCCGTTGTTAAGAAATCAGGAGGCCGTGCCTGTGCGGGTTGAGTTCGAGGTCCTTGATCTTCCGTCTGGCATTGTAGTAGTTGACGGAGAGACCTGGTGCGATCTGGGCAGAGTGTTTGGCTTGGATGGCTTGATGTTTCGAGCTCGACGCCACTGTAATAGGCGCTTGCTTTCTTCTAAGGTACAGTATGTGTAAGTGGGACTGACGGCGGCTGATTGAGTTTGTTGGGTGGGAGGTATGGAGGCTGTTCAACATTACCGACAATAAGGTCTGGTATTCCAATCCCATAGCCTATAGATGTGTGAGCACGGTTGGATGTGTGGACACAGGAGAGGAAGTTGGAAGCTCAACAAGTGGTCCACGGTAAGCCTTCAGTCAGTTCCTTGTGAATCTGCGGGGTGCGGGTGCGGGTGCGGGGTAATTCCGAAGCGGACCTGACCCTCCGGTGCATCACAATACACCGGCATTTTCAGAGATTCAGAGAAAGAACACGGAATGTCTATGATTGATAGTGTTGATCGTTTCTCATAGCAAGTGGACTAACTCAACACCAGTTGAGCGTTCAAAGCACGCTGACATTTTGTTCGGGCCTAGACAAATTCATTGAACCTTCCCCGCCACATGTACCAAGTTCGGTGGACCTCGGGTGTTGAGTCTCAAAGGTGGTCGTGATCTCGTAATCAACATCCTCCTGACGCACTTCAAGTTCGGGTTTCCTACGGTATACCTAGGTACTTAGTACCAGCTACCATAACAATCCCTGCAGCTGAGACTGGATGGTGTGGTGGGGAGAAACAATTTTAGACCGAGGTATCTTCCCCGCTTGTTGAAACCGGCCAGACATACCCGTATATGTAGAGATTCCTGCCACCGACCGTCTAAGCCCACCTTCTCATCCAATCCTGTACATACAACGTACCCCCGCGACAAATTGAAGCAGTGCCATACGCCGGGCCCAAGAAAGTACACGCACTAACGAAAGATGAAGCCCCCCAACGGGAAGAAACCCTCCTCCGCCACGGACGGATTCTTCCAACCACTTCCTGTCGTCCCGCCCGCATACACCACCTCCACCACCACCACCAACAATCACTCACGATCGGCCACCGAGTCCCCACCCGGCGACGACACCGCGCTCGCCCGCGTGCTAGATCTCTACCTTCCCCCGAACTGCCCCGAGCCCACAACCGCTATCCACAACCTCTCCCGCCTGGCCCTTGACCCCACCGTCCTCCGCCTCGCCGTCGACGCAGAGGTCAACCCCCCGATCCTCCGGCCCCTCACAACCTTCGGCGCAGAGAACCGCGTCGACCCGCTCTGGGTTGGAGAAGGGTGGCGTCGACTCAAGGCGATCGGACAGGAGGAAGGACTAGTCTCTGTCGCGTACGACGAAGAGAACGAGGGGTGGAACCGACGCGTCCACCAGTTTGCGTTGAATCATGTGTGGACGGGCAGTGCGGCGATGACGGGGTGTCCGGCGTCGATGAGCGACGGGGCGGCGAAACTGCTCCACGCACATCGGGACGACCCGGACGGGGACCAGCCGGGGAGGGGGGCGGTGCTGCGAGAGTCGTATCGGCGGCTGGTCGCGCGGGATCCCTCCGTGGCGTGGACTTCGGGCCAGTGGATGACAGAGCGTCGCGGCGGGAGTGATGTCCGCGGGACGGAGACGGTGGCCCGCCGCTTGACGGAGGATGAGATTGCACACGATAGCGCGCAAGGCAGGGACCGTGACGCGCATGGGCTGCCGCTGGGGCCGTGGCGCATCGATGGTTTCAAATGGTTCAGCAGCGCGACTGACTCTGAGATGACGCTATTGCTGGCCCAGACTAGGAAGGGACTCAGTCTGTTCTACGTGCCGATGCGCCGCTGTGCTGGTGGCGAAGGAAAGGCACCGGAGTTGAATGGGATCCGGATCCAGCGGCTGAAAAATAAGCTGGGCACTAAATCGCTTCCCACGGCTGAGCTGGAGTTAAGGGGGGTTCGAGGTTGGCTGATTGGGGAAGAAGGCAAGGGGGTTAAGGAGATTGCGACGGTCCTGAACATCACTAGGCTCTACACGGCCGGCGGCTCCCTTGGGTATTGGGGCCGCGGGCTGGCGATCTGTCGCGCTTACAGTAAGATTCGGACGACACAGGGGAAGTTTCTGCAAGACAATCGACTGCATGTGCGATGGATGGCGAGTGAGACGATGAAGTACTGGGCGTCAATGCAGCTCACCTTCTTTGCCGTTGCGTTGCAGGGCACCATCGAGCAAGACTGGGAGTTGACGGCCCGAGGTACCAAGGCTGCTAACTTGATTCCTAGAGATAAGGCGACAGCTGCAGCTCTACTTCGTCTTATCACTCCTGTGATGAAGGGTACGGTGAGCGTGAATTCGGTCCATGGGCTTCGCGCCTGCATGGAGTGTCTGGGTGGCGTGGGCTACTGCGAGAATAACGAAGACGGTGGGCTGCTGAACATTGCCAAGATCTTCCGCGATTGCGCAGTCAATGCTATCTGGGAAGGGACTGTCAATGTGATGGCAGAGGATGTGGTCCGAGTTATCAACGACAGGCGTCTAGGAAAGGGGAAAATCATCGAGACAGTGCTGGGTTCATGGGTGAGATCTGTACTTGCAGTATGCAAGCCGAAATTCGAGCACGAATGCAAAAACATTGAGCAAAGCTTGGATGCCTTGCGATCGATGGTCTCCCGACGCGTGACGGAAGAGCTCCTCTACCGAGGAAGGGAACTCACGCAATATATCGAGGTGATTGTATGCGGCACGCTGCTGATATACAATGCTTCTCTGGATGATAACCAAGTTGCGAAAGCGGTTGCTTCTCGGTGGATAAGTGGTAACACTATATCAAGTATCCATGTCGCTTCACCTTCGATCGAATGGTCTGAAGAGTCTGCTGCGGACAAGCAGATATTTCTTGGAGGCACTTTATCGACACACGAAGAACTCTCCAAGCTGTAGCTATCTCTAGGATGCTAAGATTGACCATTTGATCGAGCCTCTCTCTGTTGGGATTTACCTTTGTACGCCTAGGACTCCTCGCCACAAACGGTGGGTTGCAATAGCACATCAGGTTATAGCCCAGCGGCTGCAGGCCCCCAATCCGGTCACAAACAATGCAAACAAGCCGCAATGCTGAAGACAATCACGCTTTGATTGAGTAAGTGATTGTATCTTTGCAAGACCTCAGCATGCTCTGTATGTGGTCAATGGCCGGCCGATCACTCCTTAGGCTCCCATTCTCAGCCGCGCCACACATTGACCTAGTATTCATTCTGACAAGCGCTGCAAAAAGTGGGTCCACACCACCATGGGAAGGCCCTTCCGGACGAATAACCGGGCGCGCAAATGCATGTGAGATGTAAAGTGTTGGATTCGAGCCTGTGTTTGCTAAAACACGGTACGGACCAGGGATTTATCACGATTATCCTCTTTGACTGGTCAGATTCTCAAGATAGGCGTCTGCAGGCGTTCCTTCAGCCTCGACCCGGATGGAACAATGTCAGACTTGCAACCCTTGCTTCTGAGCTTGTTAGCATCTGAAAAACAAAAAAAGATATAAGCAGCAAGTTTCCTCTCAGTGTCCTGCCTTGCCGGCAAACCCTTCGGAAGCTCACCTGAGATAAACAGCAGCGACCATGACGTACCCCACTCAACACCCAGGGCAACCACCAGCGAAGCTTCCCCGCACGGGTCTCGCCCCTCTCCTCACCACGCTAAACACTCCCGGTGAAATCGAACTCCCTGACGGCTCCATCGTCCCCGTCAACCCGCCCCACCAGCCAAGTTGGCGCGTCACCTTCCACACCCCGGCCTCCCTCCGCACCCCGATCACCGAGCTTGCCGTTGGTGAGGCCTACATCAAAGGCACCATTAGCATAAGCGGCGACCTAGCGACGCTCCTCGCATCCCGTCCTGATTTTGAGGATAAAGTCCCCCTGCGCCAACGTCTCCGCTTCCTCTGGGACTACTATTTCCGTGCCGGCACCCATATGAATGCTCAATCAATCGACGAGCACTACGGCCGCGGCGACGACTTGTTCCTCACATTCATCGACACGCGGTACCGGTTCTACACGCACGGGATATTCGATCAACAGGACACAGACGGACAGAGGATAAGCATAGAGGATGCGGCTGAGCGCAAACTCGCGCGGATGTTTGCCGCGTTGCGATTGGAGGCCGGAATGCGCGTGCTGGATATCGGTGGGGGCTGGGGCGGGGTCACGGAATACTGTGGCGCCAGAGGGGTGCATGTTACCACGTTGACATTGCTCGAATATCAGGCACGGTATGTTGAGAAGATGCGGCAAAGGTTGCAGTTGCCGGGGCACGTGCTGGTCGGGGACTTTTGGGTGTGGGAGTCTGAAAGGGAGTTCGATGCGGTCGTGATCTTAGGGGTCATCGAGCATTTGCCCGATTATCGGCGGTTTGCAAGCAGGGCCTGGAATCTACTGAAGGTGGGAGGGAGGATGTATTTAGATGGCTCGGCAGCGGTGGAGAAGTACGCTGTCAGTTCATTCACGAGGCGGTATGTTTGGGGTGGCACTCATACGTATATGGCAGTGCAGGATGTGGTGGGAGAGTTGTTGATGCATGGGTTTGCGGTCGATGAGGTGGTACAGGAGACGAAAGACTATGAGTGGACAATGGAAGAATGGGCGAGGAGATTGGATCAGGCCAAAGATAAGATTGTAGCAGGCTGGGGCGAGGAGACCTATCGTGTCTTTAGGCTGTTCCTGTGGGGCGGAGCGCATGCATTCTCTGTCAATGCTTTGCAGGCGTACCATGTGGTAGCCGAGAAAACAGCATCCAGAGGGCCGAGACCATCGACTGGCAGGAGACTGGTGCAGTTCTTTGGGAAGCTGAGGTGATTGCTACATGGAAGGTTTATGTCATGGTCGCCATGCAGATAGTTGATCAAAAGAAGTACTTACCTTGCGCCTTGATCAACTAAGACTTGTTGTTCTGCTGGAGACAGCTTGACCACATCATCATGAGTTCTGATGTTTCGTAATCTGCCAACATTTTCAGTATGTGGAGTTGAACGAATATGCTAGTGGAAGTGAGTGGCGAGCCACGTCAACTGACTGCATCGCCAGTCCCTAATAAGAGATACCCACTTTCCGCGAGTTATACAACGCAAAGCAAACCACAGGATAGAGGTATCATCATCGTTAGTGTAAGTGTAATGGGAATCTTGCTCCAACCGAGCCTACTAATGTTCCTTAGTTGTTGTGACCCCGTAGAAAAGGACCGTTCTAGATCTTTTCTCTTGCCACCAAATAAATGTAGGCTGGGAGGCTCTCCTGCAGTGATCAATTCGACGGTCGGGAGACCGACAATGATCTCTGCGGTCAAATCAGCGAGACGTCGATCAGGACACTCCATCTGAGACGATTTGTAGGCGGGAAAAGTGTTGGCTTTAGCGACGAGATCTGTGGTAGTCGTTAAGATTTCCACTCAACCCACAACCAGAGGAGCAAGCCACAGGTGAACACACTCGGGAAAGCGACAGAAAGAAGAGAGCAACTAGGACCGACCGAAAGCAGAAGAACTGAAGGAAGGACCAATGGGTTAGTATATAGAGAACATTGAGGCAGCAAAGGGTAATCCTGGCAATATTCAGTCTCTCGTGACTAACTCACTTTGGAAATGTAGCCAGTGGAAGGTGAAGACCAGGATAGCTTTTAGGCTGAAATGTTTGAGCGCGACGATGCGAATAGGAGCTTAGGTGCGGATGGGAGCTTAGATGCGGATGGGAGCTTATGGGCGCGGATGAGTGAACGCGAGATGAAAAGGATTGACCGCCTTTGGCAACAGCGAGGAGAGCACTGCGATCAGCCCGCAGCAAGGACAGAATAGAGGGCCAACAAGACTCAGCGACGCTTCAGCATAGCACTGGTGGAGTTCTTAGATTGATGGTGATGTTGTCTGTGGAACGTTGCTGTGGTGTCCCGCACTCTGTTGTTATACGGAACTATGAGCACAAATTCTGACTCAGCATGAATAACTCAGCTTAATGTCACTCAAGTCGGCGCAAGCTCAATCTTGGTTTTTGTCTGCTCGAGTTTTGACCTCGGTCTTGTGAACCGAACAAGCTTGAATCTGAGACCATTCAGGAATGGGCCAGAGAGTCACTGAGGGCGTCTAGTCAAGCATTTCACTGAAACATGCTCACAAACCAGATATCGCGACAGATAGCTGAATGGATCTTATGACGCCATAGAGCTAGGTATATTTTCAAAGCCGCTCGGCGTCCTGCCGTCCTGCCGGACATTACTTTCTCCACCTCGGAGATGACTACCGAAGCATCATAACGTGCACTGCCACCTCCCCCGGACTCTGACTTCACAACCTGTATCTCGAAATACCAAGCACCAGAATGACAGCTAGATTCGCCATCAAGTCCCTCGACCACCTGGTGCTGACGGTGCGGTCCATCCCCACGACGGTGGCCTTCTACACCTCCCACCTCGGAATGCGACACGAGATCTTCACCTCTCCGAGCAGTCCGGAGGTCCAACGGTCTGCTCTATCAATGCACTGCATCTGGCCTGAATGAACCCTCGTGCTGATCTGTGTTAGTCATTCCCTCATCTTCGGTTCGCAGAAAATCAATCTTCATGAACGTGGCAAGGAATTCGAGCCCAAGGCCCAGAATGTGATGTCGGGCAGTGCGGACCTCTGCTTCCTGACTGATACCAAAGTCAGTGATGTGAAGAAGGCTCTCGAGGATGCTCGCATTGAGGTACTCGAGGGGGGTGAGATTGTTCAGCGCACCGGGGCTCGAGGCAAGATTCACAGTGTGTATTGTCGAGACCCGGACGGCAATCTGATTGAGTAAGTGGTTGTCTCTTGTTCGATGGCTTGGTTAGTGACAGGGTATAGGATATCCAATTATGTGTAATAAAAACAATCGTCACCCCGTGGAGATTATTGGTGGTGCCCGTTGTCGACAAAGCGTGGATCGGTTTTGGATGCAGGAGGACGGTGACAACGACTTGATTGAGCATATATACCTGGGTGAGCACATAATGGAGACACTTTAATTCAGGTTTGGATGTTATGCTCGGATTTGCTACGCGCCACCTGGTACGCTTCAGCCTCGTTGACCTTGTAATGTACGGTCGGGCTGAGTGGCTGTAAGCACCCGTCATCAAGCTACCTCAGAAGCCGAGGGGTGAAGGATAACGAATCAATAGCTGTGGTAACTCCTGTGCCCCTCGAAAAGTGAGCTAGTCCTGCTGCTGCGGCAATCCGCGTAGAGAAAGCTTTGTTTGCCATGCAAACACGCAGTGGATGGAATACAGGGGATGTGAATGGTATAAAGACCTCATCTTAGCACTTGTCTCGATCACAACAATGTTCATCCACCTTTCATCTACCACCCCCGAAGGTCTTCCCGCCAATCACCTTTCCTTGTCATCACCAAGCTCACTAAGCACCATCAAAGTTTCGTTACCTTCATCGTATCGAACAGCTCGACAGAATGGGCGTCATCTTCTCTATGCTCGACTGCCTGGTCCCTACCAAGCGCACACGTGCATCTGCTCAAGCCAGCACGCCTCCTACCTCGTCCCCGCAAGTCTCGGAGCTCCTTACCATACTGCTCACCACTCCGACCGTCCCCGAGATGCAGAAATCCACCAGCGAGCTCATCCACCCAACTGGCTGGACCGATTACCTCGCCCGCAGCTTCCTCTCGGGCCTCGTCAACGCGATCGAGCAACACGCCTCAATGGCCCAAGCAGCCACCGAGGCTCTGCGACGCGCCTCCGAGGAAGCCTTCGAGTTCGCACAAGAACACCCCGTGTACACTACCATCCTGGCTCTGGGAGTGTTGGTGGCCCTCATGCCGTGGGTGCTAGAGGTGCTTGGGTTCGCCGAGTTGGGCCCGGTGGAAGGGTCATTTGCGGCGTGGTGGCAAAGTCGGTATGCGGAATATGTGCCGAAGGGGTCTCTTTTTGGTTTCTTTCAGAGACTGGGGATGGTCTGGCATTGAAATCTGAAGCTAGAAATATGTGAATGAGTGGCGAGGGAGCGATTTAGGACGTTGAAAGGGATTGATCGATGATGGTTGTATGCTGGGTTCCCATAATCCAAGAAGACAATGTTCATACCGGCTGTGCTTCGTACGGAGAATAGTACACCGGTCGGCTCTTGCGGGTAGTGCCTGCGGTGGTCTGAGAATAGGCTGCATGAATCTGCAAGAGGAACAGGTACTATTTACACTAGATCAATCGGGTTGAGTGGATTCTCCTAAACTGCAGGCCTGCAGACTGGTTATGCACAAGATCGAATAGACCCTCGTCGCCGATGGTCGCACGGTCGCACCCGATCGTCGGACCGAGATTGAGTTAAGCAATGTAAGATCTGGATCCGGTTCCAGGGGTCCGTTAACCGCCCGCTTGACTTGCCCATGATTGATGTTTGTGGGGCTTGTAGAAACAAGTCTTAACAAACCGAGGAGCACGGGTCTTCGGGCAAGCGTGCTGCCAACACATTCAATCGGTGCAGTAGCAGGTTGCATGTAGTGGGGAAAGCCGAGACATCAACGGCTATAAATGTTTAAGCACCGTGCATGATGATGAGAGCGCTGAAATTTCCCGCGATATGCGCACAATTCATCAGGTCATAGTGGGGTGGGTGCAGATGCGTTGTCGCTGCGCGGTTCCCGTGATCAGGTACAACTGATGCCCCGAGAATCGGTGAGAATAAAGAACCTTCATAAGATAGGAGCATCTATTGACTTGTCTCCCGTGGCAGTGGCAAGAAAGAAGCTGATATATATCAAAGACGCAATGCCCATGGTGTAAACTAATTAGAAATAAGTATTTTTTGTACATTCCGACATGGAAGGCCGTTTAGAAGGTCGGAAGAGGCGGTTGTCACATCCGCACAATGTCATTGTTGAAGTGCACGAGGGGGAAGAGCGCGCTAAGCGCCCGCTAGGTGCGGAAAAGTCCCAGACCCACCGAGTCGGCTAACCCGCTTCCGACCTGCTGGATCGAGGCAATCCATGGAGAGAACCTGGCAGCAAGCGGAAGAGAGAAAAGACCCCCAAAAAATGTCGTTCAAGGTTCCCGCTAGCCTATTCCAGTCCGACTTGCGCCAGCTGACTCTTCGGTCTCAAGCCGATACGAGAAGTAGATATTACATTGCATTCATTATCGAATGGCGAACCCTGCTTAGCCACGAGAGATTCGGCGACTTCCAGGATGCAAGCCATCCCTCTCAGCAGGATGACATGCAAATGACATGATTTCGCATCTTGTCAGCAAGCTCGGAGAAGGAGTGGCGGTATGCTCGATTGGATGTATCAGACATTGACATACATACTGCACATATGCGCAACTGAAGAGCTGCAAGAAATCTCGTTTCCACTGCGCGGATTTAGCTGAAGAAATCAGCTAACACGAGAGGTATCACCAGGTAGGTGCAATGGTCTGAATCAACTCTCCAGAGACCAAAACAAGAAAATCGGGGAGATGGAACAGAGCGACCGACTGACTAACCCGAATGCGGCAGGTGACTTGAGAACCCGAACTAACTAATTACCAGCGGGTGGAGCCTCCCAAGTCTCTCTCCGAGTCTCCGTCGAGAGTCCATGAAGGCAAAAATCTAGCCTTGTCCGAGTCCAGATCTTCATCTTAGACCATGGAGGCGCGTCTGCCGAAGTGTCGACGGGGAGATTGTCCTTCTCACATAAATCTGGCAACCCCGATGTATCCTCCGAACTTCCTCCTTTCTGTTGTTCTTCCCTCGCTCACAATTCTCAATTCCGTTTGCGGCAATACACGAGTCCGACGGACTCGGGAATATTCGCAGAAGCCACTAGAATTCACCATCCTCGCATATATAATCACACTCGGATAGAGGTCACTGCATCGTCTTTATCATATGGCGACAATGGCCACCGCTGACCTCGAAAGAACGCCTTCAGGCAAGTGAAGTCTCCCCCCTGATTAATGGCCCAGTACTGACCGTCATGACCAGCCAGCTCGCAAGAGTCGGACGTCGTCGTTCTCGAATGGGAGGGATCCGATGACCCGGGGGACCCCCTCAACTGGCCCCTTCATCGAAAATGGATTGTCACAGCGATTCCCTTGTTTACGACGTTCACAACACTCATGAATGGAACCATCATTACCGTCGCCCACGAACAAATTAACGAGGAGTTCGGAATCAGCGATGCAAGCTTCCCGCACTCGTACTGGCCCGTCACATCATGGACTATCGGCGGTGCATTCTTCTCTCTCCTTGTTCTCCCAGTCATGGAGGACTTTGGCATCCGGCGCTGCTTTCTGGGCACGTACCTAATCTTCCTCTGCTTCATTATTCCGCAGGGGCTGGCCCAGAACTTCGCTACTCTGGTCATCACCCGATTCTTCTGCGGCGGTTGCGTTATGATCCTCGCCAACACCGTCGCCTCGGTAATCGGTAATGTCTGGAGAGACGAGCGCGAGCGCAACATGCCCGTAAGCCTGTATATCCTCGCTTACCTCTCCGGAAGCAGTATCGGTCCCGTGATCGGCGCCGCGACCCTCCAATACCTGTCTTGGCGCTGGATCTCCTACCTCCAGCTGATCTGGTTCGGCGCTCTCTTTCCGATTTATTACTTCCTTTTCCGAGAGTCCCGAGGCGCCGTGATTCTCACCCAACGCGCGCGCCACCTCCGCGCCAAGGGCCAGAACGTATACGCACGCGAGGAATTAAACAAACAACCCAGCCACCAAATGCTCCTGGCCAGCATCAAGCGGCCTCTGCAGCTGTTGTGTACCGAGTCGGTGATTTTCGTCTCAACGCTGTGGTCCGCCTTCACCGTCGGGACGCTCTACCTCTTCACCCAGACCGTGGAACAGGTTTTCAGCGGATTATACGGCTGGAACGCCGTGCAGGCCGGCTATGTCCAGGCCGCGATTGTGGTTGGCCAATGTCTCGGCTGGACCACGTGCTTTTACTCCGCGAAACTGTACTTTGACTCGGCGCGTCGCAACACGGAGATCCCCGGCGCCCCCATCCCCGAGGCGCGCCTGTACACGGCCGTGGCGGGCGGCATCCTGGGCATTGCGGGCGGGATGTTCACATATGCCTGGACCTCGTACCCAAATATCCCGTGGGTTGCGCCAGCGGTAGGGCTGGCCATGGTCGGGGCCGGGAGTGTGACGGTCGTGTGCGGCATTGCGGACTATGTGGTCGATGCGTACAGTTACTGGGCCGGGAGTGCAGTTGCCACCGTGGCGCTGGGCGAGAATGTCTTCTCCGCCTTCCTGCCACTCGCGGCGCAGAGCATGTACAATACCTTGCATTTTCAGTGGGCGAGTACTTTGCTGGCCTTGATCTCGCTGGCTTTGGCCTTTGCGCCGGTCTTGGTGCTGATCTGGGGGAAGGAGATTCGGGCGCGGAGTCCGTTCATGAGGCAGTCGATGCTGGAGAAACGGCAGGAGATTGAAGCCTTGCCTTCCTCGACGGAGAAGGAAGGAGCCGGTGATGGGAACGTGCGTGTATAGACTGTGAAATTTTGATGATTGATGCCTTAGATGTACAATATTTTGCCGTGATTAATCCTATATAGTTGATAATCAACCGCATTACAAAGATACTATCCGAAGTCGGCAGCATGCCAAAGCCGAATGTTCCTCACCTACCGATAGAATAGCAGTCACTCGCTCTGAATCCGCAGACAAACTATATGAAACCCAGCCCATACTGTGGAAGATCCTCGGAAGATAGACACCTATTTAATCCACCCTGCAGAGTCGACCACTATCTAGATCATAATCCCACTAATCGCTTCCCATACCAGCCAGAACTAACAAGCTCTCACTCGGATCGTAATTGGCCTTGACCTGCACCAACCGGTCATAGTTCGCCCCATAGAAGTCACGCTTGAACTCGGAATCGAATGGAATAGCCTCGTTCATGTACGCCCCCAACTCTGGCGCCCACAGCTGTCACATGCGCTCCTTGGCCTCGTACCATCGCGCGGCGTCTTGCAGCGCCCCCTTCGGAGAGCCTGCAGCGATGGAGTCGACTGTCGCTCCGTTGGCATTGAAATGCAGATACGCCGTGCGCCACGCCGGTAGCAGAGCACCCCAGTCCCCTGGAGGGGTCTGTTGCACTTCTGGTCTGCCTTGTAAGCTGATCGTCGCAAAGGTTCACGCGGTCGCGTTCTGCGCTTGAAGCGCGGTTTTGAGATAGCTGGTCATGTCTGTGCGCGACGTGCCAAGGAGCTCGCGGCGGCCGAGGAGGCGAATCGATACGACGCTCTGGCCGCCGGCTGCGTTGCTACCAGAGATGGCGGAAATACAGGAGGTGTAGTTCGCAACGTTGGAAGTGCTGAAAGTGATAGTCACTGCACTGCTACCGCTATTTGGAGTCGATTCATGTCCATTGTGGGCGAGGACCGGACGGACGAAGGCTTCCATTGCGGATGGGGTAGAGTTGAAAAACTAGAAGGCTTGCGAGATGACCACACCGGTCGTAGCTTCAAAAAGAAAGCCGAATCGCACCGCTGTCTCGGCAGTTGACATCATACATGCCCCTGCTAGACCGGCGTCCATCAGGACCGGAAGCGCCTGGAGGTACGACACGGCTGCTTTCCAAGATGCCTCCGCGCTGATATTGTTGCGGTCGGCTTCTGGGGCGATCAAAAGGTCTGTCATAGTCACGTTGCTCGGAGCCGGATGATGTCGCAGCACATATTCTGTGACCAGACTATACAGACCCGGCCCGCCACCGCGCAGAGCCCAAAACAGGTCCTGGTGTTGTGCATCGTTGGCTATGAGTATCTCTCCCTGGGTGGTGACGACGCTCATCTGCAGTACGTGACTAGCAGCGAGACCGTAGGTCCGTGACAATGGACCGTGTCCACTCCCTTGAATGTAGCCACCAAGTCCGACGCTGGGGTCTTGTCCGGTGGTGACTGCTCGGCCCTCAGCGAGCGCATATAAGCACATTTCCCCACTGCTGGCCGCTGCCAACGATGTATACATCCTCCGTGATATTCTTGGTTGGGTGTTTCCATGAGATATCGCGCCGTAACTGGCGAAAATTATGAGTCCAGATCGACAAAGCAAAGGCACCGCTTGACCTAACAATGCAAACGTATATTAGCGCTTGATGTATGACCCGAGGGGAACCGTTCACCCTACCGCCCGTTCAAATCATGCCCAGTGCATTTGATGACTATGCGAATGCTGCGGTCGGCAGCCCACTTCGATGCCGTCGCAATCTGAGTTTCCGTCGTGGCGTTGACAATATATGTTGGCAGTCCTCTCGTTGTACAGCCCAGATCGTGTACATAACCCGTCACGTTTGGCGGTAGACAAGAACTGTTCGCGTAGATAGGGTAGTCAATGGAGGCTCGCATGCCAGAGCGCGTTGGTCTACTGTGACTGAACTGTATTGCATGAGATGGAGGGCTCGAAGTGGCCGTTAGGCCAGCAGGAAGCAGCAGCAGGAACTGTGCGAAGTAAATGACCGCCAATAGACGCATTCAAAGACGGCCAGTCCGTGTCAAAGGGCCATGTCACATCAACAGGGATGTTTTTGCATCTACCTGCCACCATAGGCGATGTAAGGCAAAGCGCGGACCAGAAGATCAGGTGTAACATTTTCAATGTTGTTGGATTGAGACGCCTTGAGGAGGCAGGTACGACACTTTATAGCTATTCTGTAGCTTCTCGGTATGCTTCGCGCTTTTGCTTGTGGCTCTTCGAACCTGCTGCTCGTCATGCTTTGGATGTCTCCAGTGTACATCATCATGCTCCACCCTGGTGAAAAATAGGATGTTGATCGACCGGACCTTGGTGGTGAGATACGGATACGGCGTTGATGCCGAATAGAAGATGATGCGAGTAAGGGAACCTGCCACAAGATATTGAAGAATATGATTCTAGCACCTCAGTGCTTGGACTTGCGACCGGGACGAGATCATGGACCTGATCTATCTAATGCTAGACAAACTCTCTTGTCTCATGGGCCCAACGCAACAAGTTGTCCGGATCCTGCTGGGTGGTCTTGCGGATGAGCCTGAGAAAACGCCATGACGCCTGCAATCAAGATTAGCCTGGTGCCATTTCAATCTATGGACAGATCAAGATTATCTTTTGAATATTGTTTCAGTCAGCGATCGACTTTGAAAGGTGGATGAACATCTCAGATTTGAGAACTTGCTACAATTCGGCAAGGTAAATACGAGCACGAGGCAATGGCTCAAAGCGGTTAGTCAGCGGCTGCTCTTGTTGCCTGAGGCAATCAGACCCCGCAATGCACAAACTCCCCATAATTTATGCCCGACTGAATCAGACCTCGCTTCGAATGACCATGATATGTGATTTCCTCCGCTTAGCCCACTGCTGATTGTTGTCAATAACATGCTCGACTCAGACAATCAAGAGAGCTCGTCCTAGCTTCAACACGTCTGTGCGTCAAGCTGCAGACTTCAGCCAGCCATGTCCCCAATTTACCTTGCGGGGAGTTGGTGAGTCGAATGCCCCGGATTTTCAGGCTCAGATTCTCAAATTTCACTTATAGAGGTGATAAGAATTTGCTAACAAGGGTCTAGTGAGGGGAAGCTCATATATTGAGACATGCAGCAAGCTGACCCGAGCTGACATGCACGCACTCCCTATACGAGCCAGCGAAGCTGTCAGGCCGTTGAGTGGCTTGCGTATCAACGCTCGCTTCGCTATCCTTCCCACTCTGCACCAATCAAAAAGCCCACTCATTTGTTTGGGCTTCGGGGTTCGAAACCTCCGGACATGGAGACAAGCAAACCGAATGGCTTGGAAGACTGTACTATATGGTCTTAATTGACCGACGACGACTACTTAAACTCGATCAATGTGCGAAGGAGTCGCTTTTACAGTGATAGTGCACACCAAAAAGAACTTACTTGCTCTTGACTACTACGATGTTCGAAGGCCTGATCCAGTCATACTCCCAATCATTTGTTCTGCAGGCTCTGGCCAGCATTGAGCACCAGGAGCGGTTGACAGTAGTGATCAACAATCACGCTAACGAGCCAGAAACCGTTGTCTTCGGACCCAAGTCGACGGACAAAGGTGTACAGATCGTGATTTTGAATCCCAACGCCTGGGTTCGCATCTGCCAGGCTTTCGATCTGGTAAGATGATCGTTCACCGTCTCAGGACGATCTAATCTTCGTCCAGGGTTTCGCGGAAGCATACATCTACCAAGAGCTTGAATGTGACGACCTCCGTCATATGTTCCAGGTGAGAACCCCAACCAAGGCCTCTCCTACCCTCAGCAGCAAGACTGGCGTCTAATGTAGACCCAGCTTTACCTCCGCAACCGTACCAGGCTCGGCTTCGGTAACCGCCTACTCAGTTTGCTCCCCCGCCTCCGCCACCTCCTCTTTACCCCCACAAACACACTGGCTCACTCCCGCTCGAACGTGACGTTCCACTATGATACCTCCAACGCCCTCTTCGCCGCCCTCCTTTCCCCAGACATGAACTATTCGAACGGATGGTGGTCGAACAATCCACATGAGACCCTCGAAACCGCGCAAATCCGCAGCGTACACAACATCCTACAAAAAGCCCGCATCTCCCCAACGGACCACATTCTCGACATCGGATGCGGTTGGGGCAGTCTGGCAATCGAGGCCGCCCGGCTGATCGGGTGCCGCGTGACGGGCATCACCCTTGCCTCGGAGCAGAAGGCGCTGGCTGAGAAGCGCATCAAGGCTGCCGGGCTAGACGATAAAATCACAATCCTGCTGTGTGATTATCGAAATGCGCCAATGCCGGCAGGCGGGTATGACCGCATCGTCTCGGTGGAGATGGTGGAGCATGTCGGGAAGAAATACATGGATGGGTTCTTCGGGAAAATCTCCCGGCTTCTGAAGCCTGAGGGAGGTATTCTCGTGATGCAGGCGATCACGACGAACAACATGGTGAGTGGGTCTCTGCAACTTGTTCTGCGACGTATAGCTGATGCTGAGGGTTGGGCAGATGCATGACAACAAACCCGGTATTACCACCTTCACCGATCGATATATCTTCCCCGGCGGGTACCTTTGTTCCACAAATGTGTTCCTGAATGCGTTGCACTCCGGGTCGAATGGCACGTTGGAGCTTGACTCTCTCCAGAGCATCGGGCCGAGCTATATTAAGACTCTGATGACTTGGCGTGAGAATTTCCTCGAGAATTGGGATCTCATCCGCCGGGATTACATCGACAGACACCCCGAGGCGACTGAGCATGAAATTGAGGCTTTCCGTCGGGTGTGGGTGGTACGTACCCATTCTTTCGCAGCGCTGCACTGAGCGAGACGACTAACGGAATGTAGTATTATTTCACCTACTGTGAGGCAGGCTTCCGGTCGCGCGTGCTCACGAACCATGTCATCACCGCTGTCCGAACGCCTGAGCCTGCGATAAATGACCCGATCCCGGAATTAGATGAGGTTCTGGAGCCAAACTTGGGATCCGGCAGCCACTTCAAATATGAAGTGTTCGAGTAGCTACTCACAGGTCGAAGCTTGAGCATGGTAGATGTGCTGTCATAGTAGCATGGGCAGGGATGAGTTTATTGAGAGCGTGGGCTATAGTATGCAGCGAAGAAGCTCCCTGGTGCAGAACAATGAAATTAAATTCAAATGCTGTCGCTGCCTGAATACACCTAAGAGCTCCATATGGAAAGCTGCGCTTCTTCCGAGAGCGCGACCGTAAACCTCGGAGCAGGCAGCCGACTGAAAAGGAATAGCCAAAGAACCTCCGATCTGTCTCTTCGCATTACCAAGCGAGGCACGACAGTTTCAGTCATAAGTCAGCGTTTCAAGTGCCCTGCCCACCTGATGCTGTAGCTATTCACTTTCCATTCCTCACAAACACACAACGCCAAGCAAACAAGGAACCGATCACAAAGCCGCCGCCCTGAGCTGCCTCAGGACTCCCACAACCACCTTCCCCATGAACAGGCTCAAGTACTCAACGTCAACAAGCCCCGAGCCCGGAAGTGTATTGCAAAGCTCGTGCCACGCCAGCTTCGCTCAGCCCTCGCCGACCGGACACCCAGTGCGAGGTGACCTCTTCTGCGGTCCTCGAACGGTTCAACGTCTAAGACGTGACCCATCACCGGACTTGTTTAGCCAATCACTACACAGGCCAAGAGCTCATCTAAGGTACCCTGAGTCTCCCCTCGCGCATTCCTCTTGCGTTATGCTCACCCATCGCAATGACTCGGACCCTCCCGTGTCAACGCCCAAAAGACCTATCGCTTTCTCTGCGCTTCGTCAGCGACGCCAACGACTATCCGCCACGGTTCCATATCTGCTACACTTCCAAGCACGGAGCACATGGTTCTGAAGCATACGCACCAGAGACCACCAGTGTAATGGAGACCATTGAGCTATTACTCAGAGAAAGACTCTATACAAAGCACACATACAGGCGAATCCGTATCCAACCGGGCTTGGAGGTCACAGTCCTGGTGAGAATTAGAATATCGGGGTATGTACACAAATTAGCAATGCTTCACATCTGATATGACGTTGTGCTGAACTGTACAAAGCATGAAATAAGGACTAGAATGCCACCAACACGCTGGCAGACTAATGCCGCTGTTATCCAGGACGGGGTCACCCTGTACGTACAATGAGAAAGAGCTGTGCTCTTTGAGAAATTGACGATACGCTAGGTGTACGAGATGATCCTACCCCACAACTTTCGATTTGCATTTGGAGAACCACACCTGAAACATATTGACAAGATCTCCTTTGGAGGAGATGAATACACTACACATGGACTTGAAATACGTTTGCCGACATTGAGCACGGAAGCTGTGAATAGGGATAAGGCTCATTGTCTCGCTTATGCTCATGTCGCGAGCTCGAAGATAAGGGGAGTAATTAAAAGCAACATGATTCTGAGCCAGAGAGCCTTCACCCAGTCTCCATACCCGCAATCGCTACTCCGCCTCTCAGTTATGATCAGAGAAGGCCCCATAATGCTTTGAACCGCCATACTTGTGCCAGTAAGTCACCTCATCATACTCATCTTTGTCCTGGCTCGAGACTCTGGTCCCCTCCTTGCCTCGCAGCGCCAGTCGCTTTGTCACCTCCGTGGCCTCGTTCAAACTCACCAACCGTCTCTTAGCTGGGTGGTGAGCGGCTGACTCACGAGCAATCCTGTAAATGGCTTTCTTCGGATGTTCTAGCGCGCGGTAGTCCGGCTTAAAGGTCTCCGTCGAGCGCTCAAGGACACAAGTCATCTCGGGATTCCAAGGTCCCTCTCGCGTCAGGTCTTCTCTCTCGACTGAGGGGCAGGCCGAAGTTACGTGTGTCACCCAGCTGTCGGTTGCGAGCTCAAGAGGCGTACTTCCCACGGCATTTTCACGGAACAGCAAATCGGGACGATACTCAAGCAACAACCTCAGCAACTCAGGATAGCCAGAGCGAACCGCTTCGTGAACTGGTGTGTTTCCTGCACCATCAAACATCTCCAGAAATCTTTGGCTGATTGAGCTTGCGAAGTCCAGCACGCAACGTGCAGTGGCCTGGAAGTCTGGACTCTTATCGTCCTGGCTATTTCTCGCCCATCCCTGCTGATTGCTCGAAGAATGAAGCCAGCGTGCAAAGGGGGTG